GCGAGAGCATCGAGGCGACCGGCGATTGGCTGATCGCTCTTGAGGTCGCCCTTGCATGGGCATTGACGAGGACTTGATCTCTGCCAAGCAACCCCGAGCCGGCTCGCTGTATGTATTTGGTTCCGCTAGCTTATGGGGTGACCATTTCTAGCCCACTTTTCGCCATGGAGGGGGCGGCGATGGGGGTTGGCGCGGCTAGGACGCCCGAGGCATGCATAACCCTTGGCGCTACCATCGAGACCCGATTGTTTCAGCCATCGCACATGCAGAGATCGGTCGATTTATAGGTCGTTTTGCACGACGAGCCGGGTTTTCGCAGTCCGCGGGTCGTCATCGACCTCGCCCACCGCATCGAGCGCTTCCCATTCGATCAAACCATGACCGAAGGCTGTCGAAGCCGCGCTTTGGGCTGGCGCATGCCGGATTCGCTCATGGGGCAGCCCCGCACCGCACTCCGCGCCCGCACTTCCGAGGTGCAGTTCGGGCCGAAGATGGGCATCTAAATTCAGGTGAGGCTCGCATATGCCCTCGCGGGAAGATCCCGAACGTAGTTTGTATGGGTCCCCTGAATAACGGACCCCATGCCGACGCGCTCTTGGCCCCGGCGGTCACCCACATCCCGACCATCGAATTCTCCGCCCTCTCGCGCGTTTCGCGACGAAATTTGACGCGCTCTTTGCGTCCGACGCTGCGTCATAACCCCTCCGAGGCTCGTGCCAAGCAGCTTGCTGCGACTCGGGCGGCAAGCTCGCCGTCGGGACGCCGCCGGCCGCCGAAGACGAGGTCCAGATTTGGAGCTCTCCGTAGTGACGGACAAATGATCGAGCGGCGGCTGCTTGGCAGTGTTGATGCGATGGTCGACGTCTGAGAACACGGGGCAGCCTCGTGATCCGTCGCCATGCTCGCGTCGCAGCGGGATGTGGGCGAGCGGCAGCGGGACCAGATGCTGGCGAGCCTGGCGGAGAAGGAGATGGCCTACATCCTGAGCGACCTGGCCAACATCGGCACGCAGGCGGCGCTCATCGCCGGCTTCGTCTACTCGTCCGTGGCCGACCCCGACGCCGACGAGGGCGGGCCGCCGAACTCGCACGTCGTCGAGGGGTTGCTGCTGGTGACGATCAACACGGCGGCCGTCGTCACGAACCTCGTCGTCGTGACGACGTCGACGTTCGTCGCGACGTCGGGGCCCTACGAGGCCCTGACGGGCGACGAGGCGACGCTCTGGCGCACGCTGCGCGTGCTCCAGCGGGAGCGGAGCCGCGTCAT